GTCACTAAATTATTATTCCCAACACCATTAATAATTGATTCTTAAGATGATATTCAAATTAAAACCAAACCTATGTGAAAAATAAGATCGTATGAAATAAATAAATAAATAAATAAATATAAAAATATGAATGAAGTAACTACATAAAGACAAGAAGTATCTATAATTTTGGGAAACTAAGATTCACACGTACGTCTCATTTAATACATGAGAATTTAGCTTAAAAATTTGATAACGAGTTAAGATTAGCCATAGAATTCATACTGCCCAACGAAATGCTCAGGTCTTTGAGAAAAACTCGCAGATGTCTAGCTATCGATCACTCAAAGCTAAAGAGTATAAGCATTACTACAATATCATACTATAACGAGAAAGGGAGCGAATATCCTAGCGAGGTGATCTTCGGAAATCTCCGGTCACGGACACTTGAATGTTCTATGGCTGTCAAATTGGTACCGATTTCTTAACATACCATTTTAAAATCAATTCTATACAATAGATTGTAAAATTACGTAATAAAACTCATTTAAATTGAAGTGTCACTGGGCTATAATTATATCTTGTGAAAAAAATAATTTTAAAGTGTTAACAGGTTAGTGTTAGCTTTCAGGTGTCGTATTGAACACGCTTTCAACATTACACATCAAGGTAGCTCAATAGACTGTTTGTTAACGTAAATACTAGGTTCTGGTTTAAATGAGATTTCTATGTGAAAGATGTATTCATTAGAGGTGCCATTTCAGTACAAATATCCGAACGGTTAGTGTCAAATCTAAATGTAAATTTTATTCACGTGGCTGGATGAACCTATCGATCGCTATCACTAGACTAAAGATGGTTTATAACAAGCGTGATTAACTTCAATACCACATGAATCAGTATTTGTCCATAATTTTTATATTTTTTTTTTCTCACGAGTTCATGAAATCTACGTATGAACATATATAAACTCAAAATTCAAAGCCTTTCGAATTAGATATAGATATTTATATAAAGGATGTTATTTAAATCTGTTCATAAAAGTGCCGACGCTGCCAAAAAATAAATCCCTAATACAAAAGGTACGCACCACAGCGTAAAACTCTGAATATTTGGTTTCATTTTTTCATTTTGACAGCTGGGTAGGGGGTACAGCGATAAAGGTGAACTTCGTGGTGTTTAGTCGACCGAACAAAAGTCTGTAGTTGTCGTCTTCTCGATAACTGTGAAATCGACCTACACCAAATGTACTCATTGAATTGTTAAGTACCTATACACTAAATTTTTGTGTGAAAAATATTTTCAACTGATGAAAAACAAGATAGTCATCTTACCGAGTCCCTCCATTATCACACCCACTAGTCATCTTACTTCGTCCCTCCATTATCACACCCAGTCATCTTACTTCGTCCCTCCATTATCACACCCACTAGTCATCTTACTTCGTCCCTCCATTATCACACCCAGTGGTCATCTTACTTCGTCCCTCCATTATCACACCCACTAGTCATTTCACTTCGTCCCTCCATTATCACACCCACTTGTCATCTTACTTCGTCCCTCCATTATCACACCCAGTCATCTTACTTCGTCCCTCCATTATCACACCCACTAGTCATCTTACTTCGTCCCTCCATTATCACACCCACTAGTCATCTTACTTAACCTTTCAGTTACCACATACGTTCAGTATATCAACAATCTTGGTAATGTGACTTTGGAAAGGTAAATAAGCGTTGCCATTTGATACCATGAGAGATAAGTTTAAAGTTTCGCCCAAAAATACAAAAACAGGTCTATTGCCCTTTGAGTGTCATTTGAAGCTGATACAAAGGTCACACCTGCCATACATGTCCTAAAATTGACCCAAGGTCCAGCCAGTCCATGCAGGACATTATAAATATGATAACTTTTCAAATGTTAATTTCGGGGAATTTTCATGTTTGGATACTTGATGTACAATTTCAAGCCAATCATTTATTACAACTGATGAAATGAATCCACTCAGTTTAATTTGCAGAGGAACAGAATTGTTTAAACTTTGTATCAGGATGTAGAATGCTTCCTATGAGATGTTTAGAACAGGAGGTCACCAAAGTAATATTTAAGGATAAGAGGGTGACTGACAGACTTAGGATAATTTATACAGATGTCGTTTTACTCTAAACATAAAGAACACTACCGATGTGAAGAGGAGGCGTACTCCAAACCTTCTATGAGAAGAAGAGGCAGATGTGTAAGGTTCATTTCATTGTCATTTGGATTATCCTCAGTCTCCTCTAATGAATCGCAAGTAACCTTAGGATCATTATTACACTGAGTGGCATCGTTTGAGTGAGGTCGTGGTCTTTTTCTAAGGTACCTCATGTAACACTTTACACATAGCTTACTCCACTCTCTACAGCCAGCCCCTCTGTGTTAAGCATATGTTTCAACCAACTATGTCGAGGAGAACTTAGACTTCTTGGTGATGAGAAGTTATTTTTTTATCTTTAAATTTTGTTTTACAACTTGGGATAACACATACATCATCCAGTTTTACCATAATCAATATCATAAAATAATTAATATATCCTAAAGATGCACAGGTAATGGCATTCTGTCTCTTACATAGATAGATAAAGCAGGTATAGAAACAACAAAACGTATGAATAGGCTTAGATAGCTTAGGTGTTGTACTAAATTTGCCATTTTAGTGCAAAGTACCAATAGCAGACCACAGAATATAACAGCTCCAACTTGCTGAAAAATAACTCCTGTATCATTCAAGGATGAATTGGTACTAGGGAAATGTGTTGCCTTAACCACAAGCCTTCACTAAATGACAACATCACCTACGACAGATGAAATACTTCCATGATATAGCTTGGGCTTAGTGGCATTGCTGACTAAGTTTGCCCCAACCAGGTACACAATTCAATAAAATGTTTACCTGGCAGCTAATGGGCAAAGTTCACCAGTTCATGACCTTCAGCTGCTAACCTCAGCTACAACGCGAATGCTTTTACGAGAGAAAGGATACTACCACTTTATAGATTCACTAATTTAAAATTAAAGGCACATCGAAATAATGAATGAAATTGTAATAAACATATATTTGGATAAAAAAAATAACACTCTGGGTAAAATGTCAGTTGTTTCCCGACTCTGCCGCCACAAGGAATATCTGTCCCTGGAATAATTTTACCGGTCAAGGAATTCGGTATTTAAGTTCATTTATATGACAAGACATGTGTGAATAGTTTAAGTGAACAGCAACTGTGAGTTTGTCAAAACGGTTTTCAAAACCTTGAATTATTTGAAATTTTCATGACAAAACAATGTGTGTGGTATTTGAGGGATGAAGTAAGATTACTACTGGGTGTGATACTCCTCATACACTAAATATACATCCAGTGGTCATCTCATGTGCCCTCAGACAGTATACTCAGTGGTCATCTCATGTGCCCTCAGACAGTATACTCAGTGGTCATCTCATGTGCCCTCAGACAGTATACTCAGTGGTCATCTCATGTGCCCTCAGACAGTATACTCAGTGGTCATCTCATGTCATCCCTTAAGACACTACAACCAATGCTCATCTCATATCATCCCCTAAGACACTAAATTCAGTGGTCATCTCATGTCTTCCACTCAGACACCAAGTCTAGTGGACATCTCATGTCTTCCTCTCAGACACCACACCAAGTGGACATCTCATGTCATCATCACAGACGCCAAGCCTAGTGGACATCTCATGTCTTCCTCTCAGACACCACGTCAAGTGGACATCTCATGTCATCATCACAGACGCCAAGCCTAGTGGACAACTCATGTCTTCCTCTCAGACACCACGCCCAGTGGTCATCTCATGTCTTCCTTTCAGACACCACGCCCAGTGGACATCTCATTTCTTCCTCTCAGACACCACACCCTGTGGTCATCTCATATCTTCCTCTCAGTCACCACACCTAGCGGACATCTCATGTCTTCCTTTCAGACACCACGCCCAGGGGACATCTCATGTCTTCCTCTCAGACACCAAGCCTAGTGGTCATCTCATGTCTTCCTCTCAGACACCATGCCTAGTGGACATCTCATATCTTCCTCTCAGACACCAAGCCCAGTAGTCATCTGATGTCATCATCCCAGATACCACGCCTTGTGGACATCTCATGTCTTCCTCTCAGACACCACGTCAAGTGGACATCTCATATCTTCCTCTCAGACATCACGCCAAGAGGTCATCACATGTCTTCCTATCAGACACCACGCCTTGTGGCCATCTCATGTCATCTCCAAAGACATCACGCCCAGAGGGCATCTTATGTCATCATCTCAGACACCACGCCTAGCGGACATCTCATATCTTCCACTCAGACACCAAGCCAAGTGGTCATCTCATGTCTTCCTCTCAGACACCACGCCTAGTGGTCGTCTCATGTCATTTCCAAAGACACTACAACCAGTTGACATTTCATGTTATCCCCTAAGACACTTCGCTCAGTGGATATATAACATCATCCCTTTGTTCATCACGCCTAGTGGACATCTCGGGTAAACCACTCACACCACACGCAGTAGACAATTCATGGCATTCCCTCAGACACTACGCCCAGTGGTCACATCATGTTTCAAACCTTCACACGCAATCCCATACATTCTCATCAATAAGCGTGGTGTACGCGATTATATCTCAAGGCGGTCGTATAAAGACAGCAGTGCTTATAATTGTTTGTTGAAAAGAAATCATGTCCATTCACTTCATAATTTTCTCGTTTACATTTAACTAAACGTTATTAAGGACACAGAGATTTACGTCAACGATTGCGATCACAGAGATTTTCTGATATGTATTCAAAATTTAAATCTTTAGAAACCAATATATGTGAAAGGAAAAAAAGGTCATGAAATATCTTTCGAAAATAAGTCACGATCCTTTAACACATAAAAACACGTGATTCGCCTTAGGTACGAGTATATAAAGCCCCCGCGCTCTCGGCGACATATCGTTTAGTCAGTAAACGTCATATCAAGTAAACATGCAAATCAGTGCTATCGTCCTCGGGCTCATGGCTATCGTGCTGACAGTGCATGGTTCCAGCATTGCCCAGAAGAGCGTTTCCGCTGAACCATGGTCGTCAGAGGAAGTAGATACTTCAGGAAAGGAAATGGGCGAGGAGTTTGAGCTACTTGTGCTTTTTGACAAATATTCTAGTGGTGAGATTTATGTTTCTATGCTTTATACACAAGGGCATGACAAAACTAACCGAATCTTTAAATATTTTTAAAAACAATTCTAAAATGCAATGTCTATACCATATTTATGCTTATGCAAGAAAACATACTATGAAAAACCTCATAACTTGTAATTCACAAACTTTAAATGGAAATACACCGAGAATTGTTGTCTTCTCAAAATATTGTTTTCGTCACTTTCAAAAGTGTTTGAGTAAAAAAATGTTTGTCTAACGATTTTAATCAAGTGATTAATTTATCTTTGACAAAAGTACATATTGCTTCTTTAGTATATAAGACTACCTCACTCGAATCGATCCGGGTCAGTTACCGTTAATGATCACACTTCATACTGCGGACTTATTAGACAAACGTTTATGTAATAAGTTTACTTAATATGTTTGATTAAGAATGTTAAGATAGTATATTACCAGTAAGTGTAGATATTTAAATCTATTGGCAATTTTTTTATATGATCGTATATTTCTCGCGTCAGTGGCGCATGATATAGTTTTACTATTGTTGATTTGTTATAAGGTATACCGAAATAACAACATTTGTACAGCGCACTTCGACTTCATGATTTCGAATTTGGCGAGATGTTTGAAAACTTCGAGTTATCCGAGTATTCGATTAAAGTGAGATCGATGGTTGGTAAAAATTTTGGCCTGGACAGACGGGTTACGAGTTATATGAGTTCGAGATAACGAATGTTTGACTGTAAATCGATTACACGTATTTTACCAAATACAAGTCCGTGTAAATACATCTCCTTGAAAATTTAAAATGTACCAACACATTTACAGAATAGTTTCTGTAAATAGACATGTTTTAATTTTTAAGTAGATAATATACATATCACATTATTGTATAACAATTGTAATACTTTTGAGTAAATATCAACTAGACAGCTGGATTTTGTCTTATAGTATCACTAATTTTGTAACATTAAATGTCAGTACCTGTGGGATATCTCCACGCAGTTCAACTAGCCAGTCAAAGGCTATACGCAGCTTAATACATAAACCATTTTTATGTCCTGCAGACCATGGTAATTTTATAGCAGTGTTTGTCGCCAAATTCTATAAATCATTTCTAATTAATTAAGACTAATTGACGAATTTTTGCTTAACAAATCCTTGACAGGGGGGGGGGTCTAAATGTTATCAAAAATGAGGGATTTAGAAATTGAATTAGTAAAACAAGGTTGCAGAGTAAATGAATTGGACAACGCCCATATGTCAAAGGTCAACAACAGACTTTTACAGTATACAAATTCAAGCGAGAAAATATGAAAAAATACTCCCAGAGACCATTGTCAATAGACGACTGTGGCTAGGTTTAAATAGCCAGAATGATGTCCTTGGACCGATCACGTGAATGGATCACAATTACACACAGTTTATGTCTCAACAACAAACTTCAACCCCTGACTAAATAAAAGCTAACTTTCTGTTCTTTTGATTCGCGAAAATGTTTAAATGATAGTAAGAAGTAAAATAGTATGACGTGTATAAAGTTCCGGAAAGCAATGCACTAGGTCAACAATTTTCTATTTATATTTTTTTATCTATCAAAAATATTAGATATTTATTTTCAACCTTAGTTTTGTAATTTTGTCCGACATACTCTATGCACTGATTTTTTTATGTGTAAGCCCGGGCTTTTTCTTTCTATGGAAACTACGCCCCTGAAAAGGTTCGCCAAACTTGATACTTAGGAGCCAAATATAACTGGATCAAAATCATGTTTAAATAATTGAGGTAATTGTTTTAAATCGATTAACTATCTATATAAACTGTAATTAAGAAATCATCTTTAGTTCATAACTGTTGTAATGAGATAAGAGAGTAAACATACTGGGTGGCTTAAGAAAATAACATACCTGGTAGTATTGTCATGAACATGTTGTTCATATATTTTAAAAACAAAAGAAAAAAAAACGTGAAAAAAATTGTAACCAAATAAATTGAGTCCTGACCCAAGAATATATTTAATGGGAATAAGAACAGCAGTCCTTTGGATTAAAGATATAGCTCGGAGTGGAAAAAAACAACATACCCCTTTGTTCATGTTTCATGGGTCAAAGCATGGAATCTGTTGTACCTATGGACTCGGTCCATCGTAAGGAAATGGTTTGAACTACTTCCCTGTGACCCCATACAAACAGATATTCTACTAGACCGGGGTCCAACCCCTATCCCCGGGACATGACTCGAGGACCATGGCTCGAAAACGGCTGAATGCCCACTATATAGTCATATAATAGCATGCAATCCACGAAGAGACTTACCTTTTTATCCGTTTGCATATATATTTTACATTTGATAAGCTCTCCTTTCTTTGTCTTAACGCCTATCAGACCTTAGTTTAAATGTATGTGATCCGTTTTTCAAACTTCACTTTGTACACAGATTTTGCGTATCGTGGTTAAATTTAGGTTAACGACAACATAATAATAACAGTAATAACAGTGACATTTCTCCATGCAATATTTTAAAGGAAAATACAAATAGCAGATGAAGCGGCAACGCTTGGTTCATTTTGATGTTTACATGGAAATTTATTCGACAATGTAAATTTCAGTGAGAACGCAGCTTTGGTAAAGCGTGAAGTCGGCAATTTAAGCTAGAAATAACGATTTAATGAATTCGTCGGGGCTAAAATTGTGTGCGATATTTGCTATCTTCTTTTGAGAATATGAGCATTCAAATCTTTAATTCAGTGAAGTATTTTAAAAAAAATTACGACATACAAATTGAGTGTGAAGAGCTCTTCCTTGTGATAAAAATGAAAATTTCAGATAATTAACTATTTAGAACTATCTTACAAAGTGCGAAATGAGATATATTATATGTGACCAAGAGAAAAAAATCTTTATCCTTTCGAATGTTTATTGCGAGGTCAATATTTTATTTGTTTATTTTCCAGTTCTAAACAGTATCGCCCAAAATATAGATGGTAAGTATAATTATATCATATTGTTAATTTAGACTAATAAAAATAGACTATAAACAGTTTCTGTTGAAATGGAAAACGTAAATAAGTATTTATTTTTACAATAAAATTACCATATAAGATAGCTCCTCAGTCGTTCCATATACAGTTCCTAAAGGTATACAAATTCTTTTGGATCTCTGTTCATTACATGTCATTAATCAAAATGTCTTGTGATCTAATTACTTTCTATATATACATACATACATAATATATATATTATTTTCTATTCTCAGGAATCAGAAACGTGTTAGACAAATTTGGTAAGTTTTTTTTAAATCTTTACCTGTACTTTATAATCCAACTAATTATCATACCTGTAATTTTATTGATTTAAAGAATATGTTTTCATTCAATCTAAGTATATAGTTTGCAAAATATGAAATTTGGAATTAAATATTTTGACTATGCAAATGTAAGTATTTACATATACATTTATAAAGAATTACACGAATCAATCAGTTGATCGATCGATCGATCGATCGATCGATCGATAAATCAGTCAATCATAAATTAGTATTCTTGAATATGTGCTATTATTTCTTGATTGATACGCACCTTTATATTTACCAACAGGTGGACCTGAAGCTGCATTACAATTCGTCTGTAAGTTGATATTTTTATAGTATATATTTCTATCAGTCTAGTCATACGAAACGAAACAGAGATATCATATTACATGCACTCCAAGTTTTGAAATAGAATAATGAGGACATAAATGACGAATTAGAAACCTCACTCAAAGAAAACAAATCCCCCCTCCTGCGAACGGTAAACGAGACGGTAGACCGATTGAATAGGACTAAAAGTTACTTGTAGTTACAAAGTACTATTGACCTCACGTATATTACTGCTAGTTACACGTGACTGAATTACTAAAAATTACCTATCTTAATTACAAAGGATTTATTTGCATAGATATATTGACTCTGAACTTGGTACCACTGTTATTAGATAGATCGAACTTAATTCCATTGAACTTAGTAACATTTGACTTAATAGCGCTAAACTTAATTATTGTGAACTTTGTAACACTGAATTTGGCTACACTGAACTTTCTTACTGCACACTTATCTACACTGAAATTCATTATACTGGAATTAACACTCATGCCCTCGTTGCTTTTAAGTAAAATTCACTTAACTAGAGACACTGGACTTCACTACAATGGATTAATTTACTTGATCATGAATTACTATAGTTGCATCAAACGTAATTACTCTGAAATGTAAATGAAATTACAATTGATTACTGGTGGAGAAAACCAGAGTACTCTTGGAAAACCTACGTGGTCGGGCAGGTGACCCCTTAACTTTTTACTGAAGTTACCGACACCAAACTTCGGTATTAAGGACTTATTTACACAAACCGTTATTTTATGAATGTGACTTTAAAAAATCTTCTCTAATGGCCCTCCTCTTTTTATGTTTTCAGCTCACGATTTGAAACAATTCCTCCACCGCCTTGAAAAGGACGAAAGTAAGCACTTTATACGATATCATATATAGGTCTCATCAAAATAACACCTCATTTTCAATTAATTCACTAAAATAAATAGAGTAGCAAGTTATACATAAATGTGGAAAACCCCACATATTTGCTTGTTTAAGAATGTTGCTTTCTTTTCGTATGCCAATCGAAATATTTTTAGTGCTGGTATTTTACACACAAGTAACACTAGCGATAAATAGTATATTTGCTGTACATAATGATACACAAAGTCTTCACTGCCTACACTTGATCTACTAGTCGGCATTCAGTAGAGTGTATATGTGTCCAAATATACCCACTAGGTAGGGTACAAGTAAACAGTTGTCAGTACTGTGGTCAGTCCATTTTCACAAAAACACCATTTCTTCCAAAGTTACCAACAAATAGTCTTCAGAATCCGTTTTAACAGTCTTTTAGTTTATCGTTTGCCAAAAAGTAACATCTCGAGCTCAAAGGAAATTCATTAAAATATACGGAGCCCAAACTCACATCAACTGACCAGGTCCAGCTGACCTTGAAAATACGAGGGAATTTCATATATCAGCCAAATAACGTACAGTACTTCACACATGTAACATTATTATGAAAATGAAAGTAAAAGTTGTATAACTTAGAAATGAGGAATTAATGGAATTAATTAAAGGAAAGCTATTACATCGTGTGGCTCAGGAACGTTTGATTATGCAAGAATCTTGAAACAGTTAGAGCCGTACAGAGGTGTTATGTAGACAATCACTCTTGGAGAGATCACATTGCAGCCATATTTCAGGTTATGCACGTGCCATGAATATTCACGTCTGGGTAGCAAAATATGATGTATTCTGATGATGTTTTAGCTCATCTTTTTCATTTTCCGATAATTTCTGCTTGTGTTAATCTCAGCTCTATTTTTGTATTTAAATCACTACCTATATGCCACATACACACAACATATATTCTATTTGGAATAGAAAAACAAGATTAAATATTCCTTTTGTGAATGATAGTAACTGTTAAATGATGATAAAATTAAATTTCCTTTTTTTATTAATTAGAAGCTGAACAAACCCAAGGCCAAAATAGCGCAACCACTCCACAAACTGCTCAAGCTTCCCAACGATCCATGAAAGAATTATTGGCGAGATTGATGAAGATAGCCAAACAGTAAAAAAAAAACCTGACTCCATCCCTGAAGATCCCGACCAAATGAACGCATGCTAACGACAGCCGAAATAGATATACAATGTACACTGTTTATATATATCTTCTTTTTTTGTAGTTGTCGTCTTTGTATAGACCAGTATCAACATTTCGAACACTTTATGTTCCACACCTCCTTGTACGTCGAATTAACTTTTTTTCGTAATGTTTAATTTAATTTTAATTTTGATTTTTCTAATCTTTGTGCCAGGCCATATTTATTATTTGGAATTCTGTCTACATAACTTGTTACTTCTCTTAAAATAAAATTTCATGCTTTGCTAAAAATGGTTTGTATTTTGTATTAACAATGTATATGGAAGCATATTAGGATCACTGGCATATTTTTGTCCGGAGTGATTGACATCTTCATTGTTATATTTCATAGTATTTAACAGGTTTTATGTCCACTATTATACGGCCTTTCAGCGGGCGTGATCAAAATTGGCCGAAAAACGCCTTTAACTTTAGAGGTAGAGACACAAGTTTGTTATCGGTTTCATTTTTTTTTTTTTTTTTTTTTTTTCAATTTTCAATCATTCTGTCCCTTCGACTATGTTTGTAGATTAAAATGCAGAATCTTATCCGTATCCGCACATGTACACATTTTGATAGGAGTTATGTCCCTTTAACGATGCAAACCTGCATCTTTTAGGCCTCTGAGCGTCGTAATCACAAGCACTCCACTGCTGGGTCGCAGATTTGAGGTTTACGTGGGGCAAGTGCCAGGTACTGGCGTACATCGGTGGTTTTTCTCCATGAACTCCGAATTTCCTCCGCCAACCAAACTCGATACGTCCTTAAATGACCATTGCTCTTAATAGGACGAAAAGCAACTGGAACTTGGCAGAACAATTTTTCCTTTTTGTTTGTGAGTTTTCCCTCTGCATATCTTTCATGATAATCTAGATAAACTATTAAACGGTTGTGAGAAGTGTAATGGAAATGACAACAAAATACATTCTTGCTGCAGTAAATAATAGAAATTTAATATAAAGAGATTCAGGTTAAATTATTTTAAAATGACCAACTTTACAAATTAGCTATAGATAACATACTATCTTATTGATAATTAATTTACTATTCCTGATATCTTATACTAGTTCAACTGATTCTGATACTATTTTTTCAACTAACACTGGAATCGAGGGCACAGAATATCGAACTTTATCGTTGTGGCTTACACTATTAAGAGGTAAGTAGATAGGTAGGTAGGTAGCAGGTAAGGTAGGTAACAGGTAGGTAGGTAGGTAGTAGTTTATTGTTTTAGTAATGAAGCTTTTATTCTGAATGTAATTAAATGTAGGATGTGTGATGTTTTTCAGCAAGAATGTATGGGTTTGATTGAGTTGTCTTCAAAGTGTTCATTGTATAGATTTATTAGCGGTAAATTTTGTCTTAAATAGTATTTAACAAAATCTATTGGTTCACAAAATATCAAAGAAATTGCAAAAAATTAGATTATCATTGCACAAATTGTATATTGAGACCGGTAGATACAATAACGTTGAAAGAGTTGATAGAGTTTGCAACTTTTGTACGAGTGGCGATATTGAAGATGAGTATCACTTTATTTTAAAATGCGAACATTATAAAGATATAAGGAAACGTTTTACTAAAAAGTATTACTATATGAAACCAAGTATGGCAAAATTTATACAACTTTTGGAAACAGAAAATACTAAAGATCTGTCGAATTTAGGAAAATTTATAAGTATTAGTAACAAAAGGAGAATAAATACTGTTTAAGACATTAATTTAATTTATATGTGTAGAGTTCGATATATGGACTTATTCTCTACACTTTGATCCTGTGTACGTGGTCTGTGTGTGCTGTGTGCTATGTATTTCTTATGTTTGTTGTTGTGTTTGTACTTGCACTGTAAATATATGCACTGTACAGATAAACCGTAAGGTTTAAAGTTAATAAACTGATGAACTGATGAACAGATAGGTAGGTAGGTAATAGGTAGGTAGGTAGCTAGTAGGTAGGTAGGCAGGTAGGTATGTAAGGGTATGTATTGTTTATAAATGTAAAATCTGATACGAATGTGTATGTAAAATCCAGTTTTAAACATTGTTAATTGATATCCACACACATGTATTAGAACAGTAAATATAAGATAACATTCTGAGGTCCTAAAATATCCTATTATGGAGCAAATGATTATTGGTATATCTATGTATTTTATCGGTGATGGCATTTCATGTCCATCATTATCACATGTACATATTTCATGATGATCATGATGATGATGACAACTATCCCAGCCAATTAGAAACTTTAAAATTGATTTTGATTCTAATATAAAACAGGTTTAACATGAAAAAAAACTAAATGAAGCGTGTAATATCACAGGAGCTAAAGGTAAATCCTTCAATAAATTTGAAATAGCAAATATCGTCATAGAAAAGTAAAAAATTAAAGCAATTTTAAGAAAATCGTTTGAATGAAAAAAGGAAAATAGCAATGTATAAAATTCATCTATATAGATATATATATTACATATAGACCAATCCATTATAACGATAGCTTATCATGTTAGGATATAAAAACATCTAATGATAAACTCTACATTTGCGTTAAGAAATAAATGTGCTTCATTACTATTTATATACACGAAAGACCAACACTTACAAGTGTTGAGATCAATGTTTTCACGGAGTTAAAAATCAGATATCTCAAGTATATACAAAAACTAAGGATCAAAAAGCGTTCACTGGAACAGCATGTGTGTCAAAATACGGGATACAGTAGAAGTCACTGATCGATTCGTGAAGTGTTCCGTCAAATACTTAATGTTGTTTTTATGTTTTTACAGTTTCGGTTCTAGTGCTTAAATACAACATTTTAATGTCCAAATTGATGTTGAAGCCCTTTCCAGCACGAGAGGTCAACGTGTGTATGATAATTTAATGACCAGCGGACACTATGATAGTAACGAACAATACCTACGTTTGGTAACCTTCCTGAAGTAGGGTTTAAATATGAGCCCGGGAGAAGATGACCCAGGTGTTCATGGAACTGTACCACTGTGACACTGTGAACCATGAATGTTGTTGATTGTATAAATAGGCTATTCTTTGGGTGTCCTTTAGAAACAGGTTTTCTTTCAGGATCAACAGACATGTTGACATAAATAAAATACGAATGATTCTCAAAACTAAACAAGTTTTGGAAACCAATCGTAAAAAACATCATTGTTCAATAGAAATGGAGAATTAAATGTTATTTTGTATCTCATGATAAAGAGACTAATGTCTATCACATCGAAATGTCCAGTCTGTTTCTTCAATTTCACTCAGCATTGGTTGAAGTCATTATGAACATACCGCACCGAAACAGATACCAATTATTTTGGATTTTCGTTGAAACATGTCCGCAACTGTTATTTACCAAAACAGAGTTGGAAAGTAACGAATATATTACGTAATACCAGACACTTCTCGCACGGTTAATATAATGGGACACTTTACACTCGAACGGCCATAAATCGCACCAGAATGTTCGAGATAATCACTTATCCAGCCTCAGTGTTATTATTTATAGTCACATGATCAAAGCAGAACAATACCTCGATGCCAGAAATAAGGTTTCCAAATTTGATATGATTCAACTTGACTTGAATACAAAGATCTTGAAAATTGTCTTCAGGAGTTGCATCCCTTCTTTGTTTGATTCATCATGAGACATATAAGACGGGCTATATATCATGCACGTGTTTATCAGACTTTGGTTTAAAATGTTCTCTTGGTTCTTGGATGTTTTTCTCCTCCGGGAAATTTCTGTTAACTGGATCTTAATAATTAAGCTGTCTTCAGGTCCGCTTTTCAAACACCACACTTTTTCGTCTAGTTTTTAAAGGTGGGGTTAATGACGGATACATCCAAGGCCTCTGCAGATTGCGTGGTCGGTGATTGAGCCTTAAGTTTCTTAACTTCATTTCGGAGATGAAGGATATATGCAATCATTAATAACATCACAAGTCCTAGGACAGTGACAGTTACCCAGAACGTCTTCATAGTATAGGCATCTACAATGACAAATTTTTTTTTAAGGTAATGTAAACAACAGAGTATTAAATCATTCTTAACAACATATATTTACATTTATGATGCAATTTCACTGCATAGCCTGACAAGAAATAAGTGTTATTCCAGGTGCAATAAAGAACCCTTAAATGTATGTTAATTATAACGTCATCATTTTTGTCTTGGAAACGTCAATCGTATACTGTGAAAACGGTTGTTTTATTCGTCAGATTCGCTTTAGACAATGAATAGTTTTAGTTTAAATCCAGTTATGGTCTGAAAAAGACAGCAACACATGATGTAAATGTAACTATAAGCATTGAATGGGTTTGTTATGTTTGTCTCGGTAAATTAGTTTTCCTGGTAACGTCATATTTATATCTGTTTGCAATGTTATGCCATTTAAGTGTTAAAGAGTGGTCGGCTGGCATAGTGGTACCACAGCTTTTTTTTTAAACCTAGGCGTCCGGGGGTTTGATTTCCCGAATGGACGTGACAAGGTTGGGTCCCCGCCCGACCACTTGCGTATTCAACAGGTATTACGCCTACCTAAACCTGCCCAACAAGAGTTATTTATATAAAGGGAAACTTGTTTCGCAATTGTTAGCAGATAGATAAAGTCTAAACCGATATTATCCATGTAATGCGAGTTTCCTCCTACACATATCGATATAATTACACACCGTAGACATTACCTACAATCTGATTAAAGAATCCATTCAATCTGACCTTTCTGAGATTTCTCTGGTGTCTCAAAGCTTTGAAAAGTTAATACGTTACGTTATTTCCTTACTGAATGTGAAATATGTAACCACAGTCTCGATCAATAACGCAAGATGTAGTTTCTAAAATTTAGAATTATATAAATGTAACATCCCATATTGTATCCAGGTAGTAAACCAATGCCCAATGTAAACTACCTGTTATTGTTTATTGGTGGTAACCAACACACTAATGTAAACTACCCATTATTGTTTACCGTTGGTAACCTACACACTAATGTATCCGTTATTGTTTACCGGTGGTAACCTACACACTAATGTACCCATTATTGTTTACCGGTGGTAACCTACACACTAATGTACCCATTATTGTTTCCAGGTCGAACCCATCACCTATGATAAACTACCAACTTTTGTGTCCTACGATTACATTATTTGACGCTTTCTTAGCACGTCAATGCACATCAATTGTCTTTTATTACATACCATCTTCAGTATTTCGTCTCGGCATTGTATCTTTATCAGACTCAGTTGTTGTGACCTCTGTTATTCCTTGATTTTCTCTGTAAGCCGACGGAAATCCGCGACAGTCTGGAAAACCTGTTGGAGGGGTAGGATGTATGCCGAATGAGTTGTTTATCAACATTGCCATGCCATCCGTGCTGTGTAGCTCAATATGGCAGTGCATTATCCAAACTCCGGGATTATTAGCTTTAATCCTGACTACTGCGTATCCACCACTTGGAATTATGATCGTATCCTTACGCGTTGCGTGAGCAAGTTCGATATTCGGTATATTACCTCCTAACCAATTTGGATCACTCCAAGTTGCATCATTACAGAAACTTTCGTCCTGATTTCCTGCACCACGACAGTCAATGTCTGTATTCTGTGAAATGTATTGGCCTGTAGTTTCATTATATGTGGCGAATCCCATTTTCACAACATAGAACGAGTAACCATGCAAGTGGATAGGATGAGCCCATCCCCTTCCCTTTCCCATATTAAGGAAGACAAATTGAACCACATCATTATGCTTTATCGGTAAGGAATACATGCATTCACAAATTCTTTCTTCTCCGCAGTCAAATTTTTCACAATTTGTTTCAATCTCTTGGGGTTGAGTTAAAGCTGAAACCTGTGGAAGAATGAACTTACGTCCGTTCACGGAGCCGGGTGTAAAAGTTGTTCCTGGAAATGCAAAGTTTAGAAAATGCTCCCTAAAATCCCCGTCTTGGCCTTCAGATGAAGGGGCAGGGTCATTATTTGATGTAGATTTCAATTCATCAAAACGGATACAACGTGTAAATGCGGACGCTGGGTAAAAGCTAAATGGACAGTTTACAACTATGCACTCAGATGACGCTGTACATGGTTGTTTCGACGAAGTTGGTTCACTTACAACCGCTGTGTTGTATCTTAGAATTGCCAAAGCTCTGTGCATATTGTTACTTTCTAATGACTCGGCACGGATCCAGTAATTGCCAATCGACTGATTTGCATTTAGGATGAAATCGTATCGTTCACCCGGACTTATAATGAAGGACTCGGCTGGTTCAGGCTGAAAGTCGTATCCATCCGAGGCAAGAAGTGTGATGTAGTGATTATCAACAGAAACCCTAAACGGATATAAACCTCCGACATTTATAACTCTGAACCTGTACTGATTCATGTGTGTAACCGGAAAAACTTCGAGTGGGGCATTGTTATGTACGTCTGCCTCCATATCAGTGTAGTACCTCCCTCTGCCGTTGATAAGAGCTGATGTTAGTTTGAACCGACTGAAGAAAGTACCATCCAAGGATTTGGAAGTTTCAAGCAATGTCCGATTTTCAAATACTCCATACACCATTTTCTGATGATCCATGTCTGAATCCCAGTCATGATTCCAACCCTGAACTGTAATTACATGCTCTTGCAGGTTCAGTGTTGGATTTTTCTCTCGAATGATCAGTGCGCCATTGAGACCCTTTGTCCGTTGTGATCCTACATGGGAGTGATACCAATACGTCCCCTTTGGTTCTGCAACGAAATCGTACGTAAAAGACTGTCCTGGAAGTATAGGACACTGGGAAACAAATGCCACTCCATCCATCCACGGACTGTTGTGTTGTGGAAGACCATGCCAATGGATGGCAACCGTGTCAGACTGCAATTCGTTGATGACGTTTACTTTGAGCCTCTGTCCCTCGTAAACAATGATAGGAGGACCTGGAAGACTTGAGTTAACTACAGTTACAAGCCTCTCTTGTTCCCAACCATCTGCCGTAATGACCTCACTCATGGGAACATCAGAGCTTTGGTCAGGATTGCTGACGTCATACTTGTAGAGTTTTCCCTTATGTGGATACACCTTTCGGTGGATTTCATGCATCATTGTCAACTTATGGTGAATGACAAGAGTTGTCTCACAAATGGTGGCATCCTTGTCACATTCGAAACATGTGCCTTTTTCAAATATGCCTACCATTAAAAGTAACAGTACCTTTAAGATTCTTTCATGGTCCATGTTGAACCTGCCAATGGAGAGAAATAAATATAGTATTGTAATACTTTACAACTAACAGTGCATGATTTTTTTATTAAGATTTACATGGCGGGTATCATCGATGAAGCAGGAGATGCTTAACCTTCTGAAACACCTGCTCTTTCCCTCCTTTTCCCTGGAGGCGTCATATGTTTTCTTTGTGCATAATTGCCCTATTTCGTTGAATTTAAATTAAAACTCTTCTGACACATAGGTATTTTCTTTTAAGTTTTCTATTTCAATTAATCTTTTAAATTATAGTGAAGTATCATTTTCCGAAAAAAAATATATAAGATCTAACTAATAAATGAACAATTTCGAAACATGTAAGAAAAAATTAAGGGGCACGTCCCTTCAAAATGTGTATATGAATGTGAGGCTAGAACAGTAGCGATAGTCTAGGATTTTATGTAACCTTATAAATGATTCTTTGTACAAGTTAAATATCCTATCTGTATATGTGCCTAAATGTGTACCATGCCAATAAATTGTCTGTTGACAATAAGGTTTAAAAACATGTCTCGGGCATACACAAAACCTAATCATTTGTGAAGGAGAGAAGGATATTCCGAGACTGACTGATTGGTAAGCTGATAAAAATCTGGTATTCCGAATGCTCTAGATATCTCTTACATCGAAGTCTCCTTCTTACTGATATATATATATATATATATATATATTTAATTTGGCTCATTCCTCAGGTTACGTTCAGTTCCATTATTAATAAGAAAATTGATTTTACTTCACCTTTTAAAACATTATGGAAACACTGAAACATCAACAAAATCTTCATTCTATGTAAATGGAATAAAATATTAATGGATACAAACTTAAGAAAGTTTTGTCAATTTTAGATGATTGAGCATGAAGTAGCTGTAATTTGAGGATTCGTTTGTAATGTGATAGGACTAAAATGTTAGGATGACATTCAGGAAAATCAGAAACGAGGGAAATAAATGTCGAGATATGGACGGGAAAGTGCAATAAATTAAGTAAATTCAACGTTTTGAGACTGGATGATTTAACAAAAAAATAATAAGAAGAAAAAAAACTAACGAAACGCAGGTATAAGTATGTATACTGAAAGGTGAATAATTTTGAAGTATGCAAAATATGTAATTTTCTTGTGTCTGCGTTTTGGAACAATTCTGTTGCATGAGTAGACAAACACATTAATAACGACGACGTATAGTAAACAATTGGCTAGAAATAGAAAAGTCACAGGGCACTTGTAAAAGAAAGATCTTTTGTTTCGGAAAGGTACACCTACTCCGCTTTATCGGTGACACCTACCATTTAAATCGTAGACGAGATTGACAACTTAACAGACAGCTCAAGGATAATGATTATCACAACGTGAAATTTTTAGTTGTATAAAGAATTACGATGAATAGCTTTTGTCAAACACTAGAGAAAAAAAAAACAGTCTCGCCATAGCTACAGTAAATAACAGGTTTCGCTTGCCTTGCGGGATTTCTCGGGCATGTCACCGCATTAGCCTACGTGTATCAAATAAACATACCTGACCATCGTTTTGTAACCATTTCGTACGAAACAAACTGTCGAATGTCGAATCAGATATATTTTTGATGTATTTCAGAGACACAGTTACACAGGTGGACGGTTATGAAGGTAATGACGGTCTTTGGTCAATGATAAGGACTAAAACAGAGTATTACATAAGATTATAGTATAAGATCTTACAGTGACTTACTTACCTGTTCGCATGCCTCAGGGCTCACACACTGCTTGCGTGTAAATAAAGAATAAACGTATATATGATATATATATATATATATATAATGACTCTAATCCACCGGCACGTCCTCCGCCAAGCAAATAGTTGTGGTTTAAATTTTGAGGTGCTCATATACCACGCTTGGTTTTCTTCTGCATGTAACATAATACATAATCGAAGTGAGGACTTGAATTTTAAAATTTAATCTTCAAAAAAATCACATTTTCCTATTATCATATAAGGCAATGCTCTCTTCTGTAAAAATAATAATACAGAGTGTTCAAACTTTCGTCTCTGTCCTGCAGTACCAAGTATTTATTGTTCTAGATCTTATTTTACACGGATTCTTGTGTATTGTTTATTTCCCACGTCTTGTTTAAAATTCTAGGACAAATTTTAACCCTTACCTTTTTTAGCAGGTATGTGGAATGAATTACAATGTCGATCCAGAATTGGTCAGTCAGAGCAAAGGTACTCCTGTAATGACGACATAAGTTATCACTCTGCAGGAAGTATCGGTGTCTTCGTATGAACACATATAAGTGAGGTGAGGTCAACAGGGGTGTTCAGTAGCCAATCACTGGACCGTAAGTATTTTTTTTCCAAATCCTTCCTCTGAAAAATCTAATAGAATTTTATTCGTTTTTTATTTAGTCTTTTTTGCTTTTGTTGAAATAATTTCTTTCTTAATGCACTTTTTTAATCATGGATATGTTAGCCTTGAACACCCGACAACGAAACATGAAAAACGTAGTACTGACGGTACTAATAGTACACACATCACCCTTGGGAGGCCTCTGTAAAAACGTATAACGACACTACATTTACCTCAATAGGAAGCCAACTGTCAACCACATGATGCACAGGATGAGGAGGTTGGAACACAATAAAATGAAGAGGAGTTTGCGTAATTAGAATACAGGATGATATAAACATGTCAACAATAAGGTACTATTTACTGAATTGTACAGTCATCGCGATTGCAGACGGAAGACACTACAAGACATATTTTAACTCATATGCGTCACGTTCTTCAAAAATTAAGGCAATAACAAATTTGATTAATAACTGAGCTATTGCACCTCCCCATCTAGGTTTTGACATTACTTACGATCAACTCTGATTTTTCTTATGTATGCATAGGTTTCAAATTTATATCCTTAATATAACCGACGACTCGTGGTCGAACTAATAGTATAATAAATTCAGTTCGTCACAGTATTTAGTTCTTAATTCATATCTAAATGAGCATATTTTACGCAGTTTAAATTTGGTTTAAACAGGCGATTTCCACAAACACAAAAAATTGAGAAAAAAAAACAAAACACCGAAGGACAAGAATATTTTAAAAATTCATGTTACTCAAATACTGCAAGTTTTTCAATATCTCACAAAAAATCTGTGTATATAAACTTTTTTCACAGATATTGATAATTTCCTGTATGTAATTCTAGATAATAACACAGTACTTGCCGTACATTCTCTCCATACACACCTTAACAATACAGGTGAATTGACTGCTATCTGGGATCTAATAGATATAAATAGATTAGAAAACCTGACTCAGCCAACTCATAAATATTCTTCTGACATAACACCATACCAGCTCTTACGTTTACACTTGAGATGGGTTTTAGACCAATGTTCATATCATATACTGAGTTGGTAAATAATTCTATCAAGTTTCTAAATTATTATTTGAAACAGATGTTGTCCGGCAGTTTCATGCACGTGAACTTTAGGTCAAAATCTGGCAATAGCTGTACATGGTTTTCTAGACACACATGTACATATTATATTGTACTCAATATACATATACTTTGTTTACATTGTATAGGAGGAGCGCGAGTATATTCCATGTTTTACCTCCCTTCGTTTGTATTATCGGTGTTAAACATTCTTTTCAGAAAAAATAGCAATTGATATATATTTTTTTATATCCTGGCCATCCTATGGAAATAGTTTACATAAGCTATGCCTGTCATTCAATCTATATTTAACACTCTTAGGAGTTTAATGGGATATTACAAATAACATAAATTTAAATAATCCAAAAGTCCCCTATGGCCTGTACTTTGACCTATACTATGATCCTTGTCATGGGTGTGAGCCAGGGTACACATCTTACCCCAAAATTTGTTTAAAAACCTATAATTAATAATTAAATTGGGTCAAATCCTTTTCACTAAAGTCTGTTGCTTGTTTCGAACGCAAATTTAAAGCTAAGTATTACAATTGACCTAGATTTACATATCAAGTGTCATTAAGTGTTTATTAGTTTATGTTTTGTTTCCATATTAGGAGTGCTAAGATAAAATAGATTATACACGTGTATGTTTCCTATATTTTGTGATCAAGTCTAGCCTGGATTGTATTAAAAATCCTTAAACTAGACTTTAGACCACACAGCCGGACATATGGAAGTAGTAAGTGTAAGCACCATTCAAAAGGAACGTATTATATTTTGGTCTGTAGGTTATCCAGTACTTCTAAAACCACCGACCAAGTTATATGAAAACTTTGTAGTTAACTACGCTAGCTGAAGCGCTATTGAAGAGGGTTATATGACCGGAAATATGGTTGCTGTGTTAAACTAGATACATCTTCCAATATAAAATGAGATTATTTACTGATTCTGATGAGATATTTATACCATTTCCAAATTGCAATACTTTCGATTTTATAACGCAAATGTTTAAAAGGTTTGGGAAAACCCCTCTTTTCATAATAATAATAAATTGAGTGAAACATAATTATCCACGTCTTCAAGTGATTCTTTATCTAGAATTGACACTGTCTTCTCACAATCGCAGTTTAACATAGTGACTACAGAATAATAACTACATAATACAGTAGTGTGTTAGATCGGTGTATCAAACGTCAGTAAATCCTTCCACGGAAATATTTAATGTACAAATTTTTTTTTATATTTATTTTATTTTTGCATTTTTTCATTGTATGTACACAAAGAAGTTCACACACACACGCCCTTACATACATACATACATATGTCCAACATGTATCATCATACACATTATCATCACACACATCATCATTAAACATGTATCATCATACACATCATCATCATACACATCATCATTAAACATATATTCTCATACACATCATCATCATACACATCATCATTAACATGTATCGTCATACACAGCATCATTAAACATGTATTATCATACACATCATCACCATACACATCACAATTAACGTGTATCATCATACATATCATCATCATACAA